AATCTTTCTCCTAAATAAGTTATTTGTTTGACACTGAATTTGTATTTTTGCCTGTTCGGTTTTAAGCTGGCTAAAGGACCTCTTCTAATGCATGCTTTAGTCGCAAATGTTATTCCTTGGTGTTTTCCCCCAAACTCGAATACCACCTATGTTTGCTAGAGTTCCCTCAAGACCTTCAAAACTTTGTTGTATCTTCCCGCATGGGCAGATCTAGAATTTTGAAAAGGGGGTTGCAGATGGTGAGGTGCATCATCTTGGCAAGAAGTGACCAGTGGTGTCCCTCAGGGGTTGGTGCTTGGTCCAGTGCTTTTTAACATCTTTATCAATGATTTGAATGCAGGAGTAAAGAGCTCACTGGCCAAGTTCACGGATGACACCAAGTTATGGGGAAGCATGGTCACACTTGAAGATAGGCTGCTGATACAGGCAAACCTAGACAGACTAGCATGTGGGGCGGATCGGAATCAAATGAAGTTCAACATTGAGAAATGTAAAGTGCTCCATCTGGGGACAAAAAACCACCTACACACCTACAAGCTTGGCAACGCTAAACTGGCCAGCACCACAAATGAAAGGGACCTGGGGGATAATAATAGACTACAGTATGAATATGAGCTGGTAGTGTGACACCGTAGCCAACAGAGCAAATAATACCCTGGCATGCATCAATTGATGCGTCTCCAGCAAAACTAGGGAAGTGATTCTTCCACTCTACTTGGCACTGCAGAGACTGCAGCGGGAGTACTGTGTCCAGTACTGGGTGCCGCACTTCAACAAGGATGTGGTAAAGCTCGAGAGAGTCCAGAGAAGGGCCACTCATATGATCAGAGACTTTCAAGCCACGCCATATGAGGAAAGGCTGATGGACCTGGGACTCTTCAGCCTGAAAAAGAGAAGGCTGAGAGGGGACTTGATAGTGGCTTACCACTACATCGGGGCATACATCAAGGGCTTGATGAACAACTCTTCACCAGGGCATCCTTGGGAATAACCAAGAGTAATGGCCATAAATTCCTGGAAGATCATTTCAGGCTGAACATTAGGAAAAACTTCTTCACAGCTAGGGCGTCCAGACTGTAGAACAGGTTCCCTTCAGAGGTGGTGCAATTGCCTACCCTGGAAATCTTCAAGAGAAGACTGGACAGTCACCTTGCTGGGGTCACCTGATCCCAGCTGTCTTTCCTGCCTGGTGCAGGGGGCTGGACCTGATGATCATCCGAGGTCCCTTCCAGCCTTGCAATGTATGAATCTATGAATCATCATGAATAAAACAATGTAGTTTTCTCCAGTTAAAAATAAACTAGAAGCTTTATGCTAGGGGCATTATTCATTATAAGATTGAAGCAAAAACAAATATAACTTAATTGCAACGAGTTAAGAATAATCTGCAGGCCTGTGAAATAGGAGCTACATTACCAGGAGCAGCTTTTAAACTGCAGATTTTCAGAATAAAGGATAGCTTGATTAGTGGAATATCAAGAGCATTAAAAGGAAGAGATGGTTGTTAATACCTGTGGAATGAAGAATTTAGAAGGGATCAGATAGATTATAATGAGATATGAAGTCAAGTGACTACCTTTGCATTGCCTGACTACAAATGCTGCTGCCAATGCTAGGCAGTTGAGGTGCCTGTACACGAACCAGGAGGCTGCTCCAGTGCGCTGTAATTACAGTGTGTCAGAACACACTCAATTAATTGAGTTTGCTGGAGCATGTCAATTACTGTGCTCCAGCCAGCCTCCACATTGCATGTATGAGCATCCCCATGCTTCAAAATGGTGGCAGGGCATTTTAACTAAAACTCCTTCAATGAGCTTTAGATAAAGCACCCCTGCAGCCATTTTGAAGTGCAGGGATACTTATACATGAGACACTCCAGGTGCTTTAATTAGGGTGGCTTTTGGAACCCCCACTCCTGAAGTATGTGTAAAAATGCCCTTGACTTTAATCTTTGGGTGGGACAGAAGTCAAAGGATCATGCAAGTGAACCAGTGCATTGGCACCCCAAATCTGTCCCTGTCTTCCTGTGAAAAAGCTCAGGTACAGAACACAATTCAAAAGGAAGTCTTTGAAAGCAGCACTTGGAAAGCAAAGTGCTATTGTTTCAAAGGGAAGACATAGAGGATGCATCCACACTGGAGAAATACTTAGCTTTTGCCATGCTTCCAAACATTTCTTCTCTGGTAGGAAATAGAAAGTGTTCTTTTTGATGTACCTGTTTAATTGTTTTGCACCCAGACACTAGCTTAAAGATCCATCTTTCTTTTCTGCTATGATGAGGGAATGAACACAAACTGTTGGTCTTTCTGGTTTTTTTCCTATTATACCAAAATAACTCATCTGTCTAGTTTCTCCTTAACTTTTTTTTTTATGCTTAAAGCAAGAGGAATATTTTTAGGAGCATGAACAGTAAGAGTGTTTGGTTCAGTCAGTTCTTTATTCTAAACAGCTGAAAGTTTATATAATTATAAACATCAGAAAACTATTCTTTATTGCTTTCCACTGGCTCCTATACTATCAATTACCATTCCAAGCTTTACATGTTCTTAACACAATACTAGGCATCAGTTTTCCTGAAACAATTATTAACTTTATATCTTTACCATGTTGCTTCTGTGCCTAACATGCAATTCATACACACTTTAGTTGGAATTAACTTCCATTATATGATCTGAGAATTACCTTCTGAATCTGTATGTACAAAGGTTTAATGTTTAACTGGCTTGCTTTCTAGCCTCTTCAGTCTGGGATTTGTAATTTCAGAATCCTGGTAAATTCTGATTGCTTGTTCCAAAGTCAGTCAGCGTGTGCATAATTGCCAAGCCATGTGATAGCGTGCTCAATGGCCATGTGCAGTTCCTATAGTCCGGCACTTAACTTAGTCAGTGGGTAGTTATCGACATTATGCAACATGGTGCATGTTTTTCCACAGCTACAGTCTAGATTGTTGCAAAGACCTGAACAGTGGAGGTTGGCTGCACACAGACTTTACCCTGTTCGGGCCTATTCAGCAAGGCCCACTGATGGCATGGCAGGTTGAAACCAAGCGGACAGACTGTAGGATCTATGATAAGGAACTTGTTTGGTGGTAATGTCAACCTCTATGCCTCACACCAGAGGGTCTCTGCTGTGCGGTCCTGGTGCAGCAGTTTGGATGACAGTGGATGTCGTGATGGTAGACATGAAGCAGGTGGATTTAAGAGATCATTGTAGAGTGACAGGCTTGGATTGGCATAGATCTTCTCTAGTAGCATGTTAGTTGCAACTTAGCATCCTATATGAGTGGGAACAGTGTTGCTCAGGACTGGGACCCATGGTAGAGGGGTCAGTCAAAGAGTTCCCAGATGATGTGCATTGTTGAATGTAGCTGCACATCAACGAGTTTGGTGTGTGATGACCGATTGCAGACTGGTGTGCAGTGCTCTGCCACAGAATACAAGATGGCAAGAGCTAACATTCTTAGGGTTGAGGCTCTTGCACCCCATGATGGCCCAGCCAGCTTGTTAAGGAGGTTCTTGAGTATTTGAACTTTCATTGCTGTCTTTTTTAAGTGTTCATGGTAGCCCAATGTCCGGTCTAGCATCACACCCAGGTAGATGGGTTGTGCTTCGTGCCACAGCCTGACCATTCAAGTAGATGTCTAGCTCCCAGGCAGCATTGGAATTGTGTAGGTGAAGAACACTGGAAATTGTCTTACAGACACTTGGCTGGACACACCAAGTCTTGCAATAGTCAGCCAGCTTTGTGACATCACTGTTCAGAGTATGCTCTAACTCAAAAGAAGTCCGGCCTGGAATCCACAACAAAGTGTTCCAAAGTGAGTTCAGTATTTTCCAACAACCTCTTCCTAAGCTATGGATCAATGGGCACATCTACACATACAATTAGTGCACATGAATAAACTCTAGAGCAATATACTCCAGGTTTAATTGCTCCTGGGCACACTGTTTGAACATGCACCCAGGAGCAATTAACTCCAGAGCATATTGGTCTGCAGTTTGTTTGTGTGTAGCATGTGAAGCCTGGTTGAAACAGCCCTGGCTGGCAGGGGGCCCTGGGGCTCAGCCTACCAGCCGGGGCTGCTCTAACCCAGTTCCACATGCTGTGAAAGGGCTGGCTGAGACACAAGGGTGCTTTGGGACACACACTTGTGCTCCAGCCAGCTGGGCCAGCATCTACATATGCACTTCTGTGCATGAAAAAACTCCACAGCAAGGTAGTATTTGTATTTACAAGTACTACCCTGCTGCAGAGTTTATTAGTTCCCTGCACCCTAATAGGGGTACATATGTAGACACTGAAGTGTTTACTGCAGAGCTAATTAGTGCTGATCCCCAGCACAGTTTGGTCTCTTATAAGGGACTCTGCTAACTTTCCTAAGTTGCAAATCTGACTCAACAGTCTAAAGTCAGTAACAAATTCCTCATTTGTCCTCTCTTGGTTTTCTGATATACAAGTTAAAAATGTTTCAAAGGTTTAGGTTTGTTTTGACATGCAATACTCTTCAGACTTTTTAGTAGTTTTACTATTCTTTTCCCTTTCAGATAGTTGCTAACTTAAATGCAGTTAAAGCTTTGTGCCCTGCTAGATCTTTTCTGTGGCTCTGTTAGCCAACATATACAGGTAGATATTGACACCCTGCTTGAATTTTTTCTGGCTTTCTGCTGCATTGTTGGAGAGCTGTAACTGCTCTGGAAGTGACAAATGCTCCATTTCTTCTTTTGTGCCCCCTCCTTGTTTTTTTGTACTCCACTTCTGGTAGCATGTGTAGCTTGGTAGATTGATCACCAAGTCAGAGAGCCAAATACTAGTCCAGAAACTATAATACAGTTTATTGAAAGTCATAGTAGCAGATGACCTTCTACCAGGGACAACAGCCTTCTACTACCAACTGCCCCAGGTAGCAGGCACAGAAATTATCCACATAAATTGCTCTTAGTGGAAAACCAGTGCCCAAAACTTCAGGTTTCTAATGATTTTACATTTTCCTCATTTTACAGGTCATTTATAAGAAGATTCTAAAGAAGTAGTCCCCCTTCATTAATTAAGGTAACACATATTAATGTGATAATATGAAAGTTTCAAAGAGAATATACTGTGCAGTAGCATTTTCTTCTTTAAAGTTGTCACTACCTTGTGACTGTCCCTTCACAGCATCCAATGAAGCAAGCCTTCTGCTTATGAAAGTTTATGCTAGACAAATAGACAGCTCTGAGTTAGTCTATATAAAGGTGCAAATCTATCCTCCCTTCTTCCTATCTAGCATTTTCCATTGGGCTAATATATGCCAGCCCAGAGGTGAACTTATTTAAGAAAACCTGATGAAATTTGGATCCAAACCTTTTCAGTTTCATGGAGGTTAACGGCATTACATATTCTACTAACTATTCATTGATAATCACAGGTCTGCATTGAGTATATATACACTAGCTGGTATATACATAGAAAATGGTAATATGAAATAATCAGGTATGAGTAAATTATTTGCAGCACATCGTTTACTAACCAAATTTGTCCTTTCTTCTGATTATAGTGTCTGAGAATATAGTGCGGCTTTTACAGATTTATCACTTGCACATAATTTATACAAGCATAAACAAGAGTTTGTGGAGTTTTTCTTCTCTTTCCATCTGTGCTTCAGCAAATGGTTAACTGACAATGAACTGATGTAGCTCCACTGATTGCCCCAGCTTGAGATCTAGCCCCTTAGCATTTACCTAGCTCTCACTGACATGGTATACAAGCACACGCTCCCTGTTGACAAACTAGAGATCATGCAGAGAAGGGCCAGAAAAATGATTTGAGAAACAAATGCTGTGCAATGAGACAAAATAGGAATTCTAATTCTGACAAAAAGAACCAATGGCTGGAGGTCAAAGCCAGACAAATGGAGATGAAGAATAAGGCGCCCATGTTCAACAGTGAGGGTAATTACTCTTAGGACAAACTGCCAAGGATAGCCACAGCTTCACCTTATCTTAATGTATTGAGAGCAAGAAGGAAAGTCATTCTGAAGCCAGTCTTTGGTCAAAGAAAAATTACAGGGCTCAACCCAAGAAAAATTACAAGGGTCAACCCAAGAGTCACTGGATGGATTCTCTAGTCTGTAGATGGCTGTGATGGAACCTCTAGGCCAGATCCTCACAGTTATGGCCATAGTTTGATAGGGGAATGGATATATGTAGTGTGACTGACTGGGCTCTGGAATGGCTCAGATATTAACATATCTGACTTCCCTTGCCAACAGGTGATGGCTGTGGAGAATATGGAAGTCGGAAGCAATAGCACCCCTGTGACAGAATTTGTTTTGGTAGGCTTCACAAGAGAACCACATCTGCAAGTTGTTCTCTTTTTGCTGTTCCTCTTCTCCTACACCCTGACAATGATGGGGAACCTGGGCCTAATGACATTAATATTCCTGGACTCACACCTGCACACGCCCATGTACTACTTTGTGAGCAGCCTCTCCTTTCTCGACATTTGGTATTCCACTGTCTACACCCCCCGGATTCTAACTGACTGCATTTCTAAGAGACAGGTCATGTCTTATGCTAGCTGTGCTGCCCAGTTTTTCTTCTCTGCTGGTTTAGGCTTCAGTGAGTGCTACTTGCTGGCTGCTATGGCTTACGACCGCTATGTGGCCATCTGCAATCCTTTACTCTACTCCTCTGTCATGACTAGGAAGCTCTGTTTTCAGATGGTGGCCAGCTCCTATGCTGCTGGCTTTGCCAATGCCATTGTGCACACAAGCAACACTTTCCGCCTGCACTTCTGCGGGGACAACACCATCAACCACTTCTTCTGTGATGTACCACCATTGCTGAAGATGGCCTGTGATGACACCAAGGTCTATGAGATTATTTTGTCTACTGTTGTGGGTTGCAACATGCTGGCCACCACTGCACTCATCCTGATCTCCTACATGGCAATCCTGGTGGCCATCTTGCGCATCCGCTCAGTTATTGGCCAGCGCAAGGCCTTCTCTACCTGCTCTGCTCATTTGATCTCTGTATCTCTCTTTTATGGGTCCATCCTCTTCATATATGTACAGTCCAGCTCCCAGCACACCTCTGACTGGGACAAGATTACTGCCTTATTCTACACTGTAGTTAACCCTCTAGTCAACCCTATCATTTACAGCCTGCGCAACAAAGATGTAAAGGTGGCATTTAAAAAAGCCCTTGGAAGAACCAGAGGACCCAGGTAATTGGTGGGGGAAGCAGGCATGGCTGCACAGGAAAGAGATGAGTCAAATAAATTTCTGCTGTGGTTGGGATTGAAATCCAGGAAGATGGCTTCCATGAACCTCCTATATTCCCCACCTACATGTGTCAACAATACGGCCTTTGATAAAGATAGCTATCACTTCACACTGATTATGGTGATTTTGAAGTTGTACCAAGGGCAAAATGGCAGTCCCTGTCTGGTTCAGAGTGGCTAACAATCCCTCTGTTAGAAGGCAGACCATGACTACACTATAAGACTCTATGAAAGAAGGGAGTATTAGGAAGAACAAGGAGGAGTCAAAGGCTAATATAGGTATGGCATAGCAATTTTGGGGGCAGGAGAGTTTTGGGCTTCTGACTTGGGGGCCAGGTGCTAGCAGTGGAAGTTGGAGATGGTGGGAATAGGACTGCAGCATACCAAGAGTGGGGTCACTGGAAGGGTGAAGAAACATCCCAAGCATCCAGGACACTAGGTGTATCTAAGGGTAGATTTTGATTCCTCAAAAGTCTCATATGCCTTGGAGGGAAAATCTGTTCTTCCTAAAACAAATAAATCAGTATAACTGTGGGTGGGCAGGCAGGGCACAAGCCTAAGGGAGTAGCCAGAAAGGACGCAGTAACTTTATGCTTTTGCCCCACCCTGTGCATTCAGAAACTTCCCTGCAGTAGTTCGAGAAGAGGAGCAGGCACCGGTGCTGATGAGAGCTTCACATCAAAGGGAATCCACAGATCCAGAGGGAAGTGCTATTGTGGCCAGGAGCCAGATGGTTAACCCTCTCATCTCCTTTTTCTGCTGCCTAATTCCAGCTTTTAAGCTGCCACTCTGTATACATTCTTGGCAGTGTTAAAACCCTCAGGATAGGGATGTAAATGGTTAAATGACAATTATATTTATACCATTTACAGCTTACTGTTTACCATTTTGACCTCTGGCAGGAATGGTCCTGGCCCCTTATGTCTTCACTGTGCTTCTGGTGCTGTGCGGGTCCTGGGCTCCAGGTAGGGAGCCATGGGCAGGAGGCAGCGGGGGCAGCTGAGCCACTAGGGGATGCTTCCCAGCTGCAGAGCTACAGCTTTCGTTCGCCCCCATGGGCAGGAAGGGCTGGGGGTGTGGACGGAGTTGAAGCTGCAGACATCTGTTCCCAGATCCTGTCACCATGGGGAGGGAGGGAGAGAGGTGCCAGGCCTCGCATTGGGGTCAGGCAGAGTCTTTCTGCCACATTAGTGAGACTCCCAGACGTGCAGTGGATCTGCCTGGTGCCCCCGCAGCGGCAGGCTTCTGGCAGGGTGACAGGCTCCTTGTGCCTCCCAATACATTTGTGCTGCTGTGGCCTGGACCTGGAAGGCTCCTTCACACTGCCAGGCTGGGCCCTCCCCACCTTGCCCTGGGGGAAAGGGGGTCTGATCCTTGTGGTGCAGCCTCTGCCAGGGGGTGCTGCATCCTTCCTTCTCCCACCTGTGGGGCTGGGGCCTGCCCAGCCCTGAGACAAGGCTGAGCACACAGCTGGAGCAGGTGACACCAGGTCTGAGGGGCAGCTGCTGACCCCTTGCACGATGAGTGCAGCTCCAGGTCATTCCTGATGGACAGCAGTACTGCAGAGCAGCACAGCAGGGATCCTGGGAGGAGCATTAGGGCTACAACAGCAGCCTCCCAGGCTGGAGCTGCTGCACTGCCACCCCTCCAGGAATGCTTTGGCGCTGCAGTCACCACACGAGAGGCCAGCAACAACCCTTCAAACCTGGTGCTGCCTTCTCCAGCTGCTGTGACGCCTTGTTGGGCCAAGCCAGCCATGCACTCAGCTCTCTCTCAGGGCTGAGCTAAGCCCCCTGAGGCCCCAGTGCCACAGATGGAAGGGGAATGGAGGCAACGTGCCTGGTGGAGGTGATCCCATTGGGACTGGACCCCCCCACCCCCCAACACTTCCCTCCAGGCAAGCTGGGGGGGGGCCTGGCCTGGCCTGGCGTGGTGTGGCCTGGCATGGCCTGGCAGTGTGGAGGAGCTTTCCAGGTCTAGTCCACAATGGCACAAGCATGGCAGGAGGTGCAGGGAGCCTGTCACCCTTCCCAGGCCCTGTTGCTGCGGGGGGGAGGAGGAGCAGGCAAATCCACCATGCTCGTGAGAGTCTTGCTGCTGTGGGGGGAAGGCCCGGCTTGACACCTGTGGGGGGTCTGGCACCTCCCTGGCCCCCTCCTACCCTCACCATGGCAGTGGGATCTGGGTGCAGGAGAGGTCCGCAGCCCCAGCTCTGTCTGCAGCCACATCCCCTGTCTTGTGGGGGTGAGGGGAGGCCATGGCTTCGCAGCTGGGCAGCACCCCCTAGTGGCTTAGATATGCCCACTGCTCCCTGCCTGTGGCTTCCTGCCATCAGTCAGCCGGGGACCCGTGCAATGCTGCAGGCATGGTGAAGACAAGAGGCTGGGGCTAGGGCTGCTCCCTCCTATCCCTGCATGCTGACTGGACTGCTCCTGAGTATCCTGCATCTCAGACTCTGCCTATTCCACAGTGTGGCTGAAGGGCTTCAAATTCTTCCTCACAAACTCTAGGCTTCTTTCTGCTGTTGCAACCTCTGCCAGGAACATCAAGCTGCTCTGTTGTGCTCTCTGGTGCTTTCCTGGTATCCTGAAGTTGCTAGATCCTTAGGGCACTTGTACACGTGACAGGGATTTATTCCACAGTGTCTCATTCTATGCCCCCTAAATTGACACGGTGGGCTTTAATTATTTCCATCACTGTATCCACGTGGCTGCTCAAAAATCCCAAAAATTGCTCCATGCACTATTTAAAGTTAAATAATATAGGGAGCACCACATAACAATCCACCCCGCTAACCTCTTTTACTAAATTACACATCAAGGGCACCTATAGCTCACACAATGCTAATATGTCCAGATCAGTGACAATTGCACTGTTTCATTAATTTGCATATTTTGATTAAGTGTAAGTTCAGTACGTTAATTAATTTAATAATTTTTACACATATTTTTACACAAATTTTTCTTTCCTCTTATTTTTAGTTAAGCAATATTTATTATTTTTAAATGTTTTTATTATTATTTAATATTCCTTTTATTCAAGTAAAGTTTATTTAGTGTTAAAATCTGCTTGTATTCCTTTTTTTCCATGTGAACATGGCGCTGACATTTAGCTGGGCAGCCTGCTGGAGTGAGTTTGTGGGGGGAGTCTGCGGTGCGGGTATCCAAGCTGATACGGCACCTAAGCCCTGGGATGCACTTGGATTGGCAATGAGTTTGGGGGTCCAAGCTGATGAAGCCCCTGTGTGCGGTGGAGGGCCACACAGCAGCCTTAGGCTACACTTGGGAGGGCAGCAAGTTTGTGGTGGTTTGCTTTTGGGGGTCCAAGCTGATGAAGCCCCTCTGTGCAGCATACAGAGAAACCCCTGGCTTTGCTCTGGACATCAGTGGTAAAAAATTGTGGGCGCTCAGCAGAAAACGTTAACCACCAAACCCCAAATTCAGCCTCAGGTGGCTACTGCGGGTGTCACATTACGTCCCATTATCACAGCTACAGTCAGTCACCAAAAGTGACCGCCAAATCAGTTTTTCCAGGTCTCTTTTCCAACACCCCCTTTTGACATGTGACACCCTTAGTGGTAAAACTATGTGGGCGCTCAACACAATGCTTTACATTAAGCAATTGTATTGTTCTACAATAAGCTGTTGACCATTCTGATGAAGGACACAGGAGATTCTTGCTTATGATTATTCGGTTTGCATGACAAAATGCACAAGGCATTTATAAAGATTGAAGACAGAGATGCAGCAGCTCACCAGGAGATCATGGCCAGCACAATCAAATTCCTGAAGATGGCTGATAAGTTCTGCATGAATGCTGAGCAGAACTGGCATCAGGAGAGAAAGTTTAGACAGGAGCTCCTTAAATGACTAGGCAATAATGGCCCCTTTGAGACAAACCTATTGACAGACTCTGTGCCTGCAAACAAGGGGAGCCCCTCTTCTAACTGCAGAAGGAGAGCCCTGGTATGTTTTAGGTATGAAGGGGAGGATGATAGGGTGATACAGAGGGGTTGGGGGCGGGGGGACCCAGTGATGGGTACTGGGTTCTCTGATGTAAGTGAATTGGTCATGGTTCCATAGGAAAACCCATGTGAGTTAGAGACAGAGGCTGCAAGGTGGTGGGGAGAAGAGAAAATGACTGGTGATGGGCTCATTACCTGTACTTGCTCATGCTTCTATAGCAAAACCAAGGAAAAAATATGAGACACAAGATGCAAGTGAAGGGGAGAGAGGGGGCATGAGATAATACAGAGTGATGGGTCTTTAGCAGGAAGTAGCTGTGAGTGAATTCCTCATCCTTCCATAGGAAAACCTACGCAAATTTAAGCCAGAGGGTGCAAGGGTGAAGGGTAGAGGCAACTAAGGGTCATGGGTTTTTAGCTGTTAGAGAGTTTCTTTTCTTCTGGTTCATTTTACTGATATTTAAATAAAGTCTAAGATTAAATCTAAAATAATTTTCTTCCATGTCTTTCTCATGACAGAGGAATGGTTGCAGTGGGGTGGCCTGCCCATATACCCCTGTCCCTAGGTTGCATCCCCAAAGCACCTTTAGAAGACAGAAGGAAACAGTACAAGGTTTTTTTATTGAGCTGCCTTTGCTCCTAAGGCTGTGTGGTCATTGTGGAGGTTGACCACCACAATCATCATTCTCTCAAATGCTCAGAAAGGTGTTGATTCCTGCAGCGATGTCATCCACAGTGGTGGGGGGGAGCTGGGGAGGTGGGCAGGAATGTGTAATGCTGCAACAGATATCCATTCAGGCATCTGCGGGGGTTCTCTGGTAGCCCAGGCTTATCCCCAGCACCGTCATAGCTCAGGGTCCTGAACCAGGAATGCAGGTGTGCCCAGGGCACGAGCAAGATGAGAAAGAGCAGGGCATCATGGTTTGGTGTGCCCTCTGCTTGCACAAACAGATCATCTCAAACTGACTGGGGGAAACACTGAA